ATCATTCCTCGTGACAACCAAAACCAACCACTACCCGCCCAGGGGCATGATGGTGTCACTCGCGAACACATAACCATGGCGTACCACTCGGTATGAGACCACCAGGCATGAGATGGCTTTTCTGACAAATACCACCACCAAGGGCAAGACCGGTTATTGTGACCACGTCCAGGCATGAAATCGCTCCTCACCTCCACCAACAGGCACAATATACTCCTCACAATCATCACCAAAGCATTGCGCAAAACTGTTACTCTTGCCCCACCACCACCATCAACTAGGGATTTTGATAATGACCAACCATTTCTCACAACAGGAATCATCAAAAACATGGTCTGATTGCAACAATTCTCAAATGTCCCTCCATTTTGTGCTGATGGAGTCTGGTCGTCTGCCTCACTGTCGGAGTTAGTCATGAGTGGTTACTTTTTGTATTCCTTTGGCAGCACCGACACCATTACATACTCAATGGTATATCTCACCAAACAGGTTTAGCGTGCAGAGAACCATATCCAACCGATCCCCCAGGTATAACTAAAAAAAGAGGTTCGACTGTCCTGGAAGCCAGCAAGGCCATGCTGCGGATCTGGAAAGGAGGGAGAACATGGTTCCAAGCACCTGCTCTTTGCAGTGCACAGCACACCTTGAGGTGCACCGTCTGCCACTAGGTAAAAGTATCGTGGACACTCCGGGCCCACAGTCATGCCTTGTGCGAGTGCGGTTGAACCCAAGTGCGGATTAAGGTCATTCTATAAAGGAAGCTTGGTGATGGTGCAGAAATTTGCACAGCCCACATCGGAAGTGAGGGTGCAGTTCACGACAGGGCCCCACCAAATGTGGCTCGTGGCTGGAGCCCGACCATAGCCTTCATCTGTTGACTGCGTTTCTCTAAACAGTGTGGAATCGGGACAAGCACGGCCCATCTGGGATTTCAGACTTTGTAATATCATCTGCACCGACCAATGTGTTGCTAATGTATGCCAGGCCATGCCTACTGCTGTTGGGGTTACTCCAGCTGGATTTTGCTGCAGCCCAAAAGCCTAAGTGCATTGGCCGTCGTTGATGCTGCGAGTTGGCTGCCCTATACCATGATTATCCCGGAGCTCAAGTACTAATGAGTCCACACGCAGGACTTTGTTGTCACCTTCAAAGCAAGGTAAAAAAAAACACTCCCAACCAGAGCCGAGGGAGTTTTACGGCTTCAGCAGACTTCTGCCATCTGGTGCTCCTGACCCCAATTCTATTACCGGCAATGCCGACAGGCTTAGCACTGATAAGCAGGACAGCATGTGGTGGTCTTTGCGCAAAAATGCATGGTAGACCACGTTGCGGTCTGAGATGCACCACTCAGGCAGACAGGGCTCATTACTCCCAAGGGTAGAACATGAGGATACAAACTTTAAGTGTTCCATCTACACTAGTACAGCGAAAGCATTGATCGCTAAGCACTGCTCTCTTTATAGGTAACATAGGGTGAATGTATGTTGAACTTCTTACGCACCGTACGTAGACAACGGTGTTAATCGTAAGTGTAGATTTGATGCAACCAGGAAAATACATAAGCATAATTATTGTTGATTATAGTTTCTTCCAGACTACACAGAAAAAAATGCCAGTCATAAAACACAAAATCATTGCGGAGAATATAGGTAAAAAGATACGCAATTTACTTTCTAACGGTCTCTCCACAAATAAAGCCAAAATTAAACTTGAAAAGAAAATTGCAAGACACGGATGCAAAATTAAAACCTGCTACCACAAGTGTGCATGTGAGAGGAACAGCAACCTAAGTTTAATTAGTTATGCATTTTACAAGCTTAAGCTTCACTTCACAACTCAGAATTCATATACACCGTAGTCGTCTACAATATATTAGCAAAAACATTTTCACGTGATCATGTTCAATGTTGAAATAACCTATCGTCATTCCATTTTAAGCCAGTGTTATGTAAAATACATATTATAAAAAAAAGTACATTGATAGTGAATATTGTAAAATTAAGTATTATTGTATCCATACTTCTGATTACACTGTGTAACAATTTTATTTTTGTTCCTGGGTAGTAAGTGTTATTTCCTAATTGCTTATGCCTCAAAAGTAGAGAAAATTGCTATTATTCCCCACAAACTTTGCTTTTGTGACCAGGAGAGTGATATTTTGAAATTTACCTATTTTCCAGAATATTCCAGATAGATTCAGTGCTGAGTAAACTTGGAGTAACTTCTGGAACATTCCAGAACTTTCCAGTAATACAAATAGTAGTATAAATACAGGGGCCTTAAGCCCACCAGTTCAATTTTGATTTAAAGCTTTCGTGACTGCAGTGATTCATATTCTTGGTTCTTTCGGTAGGCTTCCAGCTAAGTGGATACATATCTGCATTTTTCTGAGACGGCATCAAGAGGCTGCAAGCATCCGGCAGATGCATTTTGCAATGTCTGCGGCCAATTTATCAAGACAAGAGCGAAAAAGTACTCTGAAAGCATCTGCTAAGATGTGTGATGCCTATAAAGCATATTTCGGCATGCCTGTCAGGGATCAAGACAAACGCACCTCATGTCACCTGCAAGCAATGCAAAAAAACTCTGGAAGGTAAGATGGACAAATGTTGCTCGGAATTTTATGCTATTAAATTAGTTAACATTTTTTTAATTGGAAAAGTTTTAAATTTAAAATGTTTTACAATTTTCCATGTTATTGAAAAAATATATATCATATATGAACAATGTTGCGAGGATCTCTTACACATTAGTCATGGGTTAAATAAATGTATTTTTGTAGGATGGTACAGAGGGGAAAATAGAGCCATGAAGTTCACTATCTCAAGAATTTGGCGGGAACCCACTGACCACTCAAGAAACTGCTACTTCTGCATGGTGGACCCTTCCAAGAATGCACCTATCACATATCCGGACCTTCATCCATTGCCCCGGTGCCACTGCCATGAGCACCCCATACCCACTCCCCTGGAGAGAGAGCAGCCGACTTTAGGAGCAGCAAGTCAGAGAGCGAGGAAGACATTGGAGATCCAGATGACAATTTCAGAGGTGGAGCTGAGGACAGCAACCCATACTACCCCAACCAAAAAGACCTCAACGACTTGATCAGAGATATTGGTCTCACCAAGTCCAATGCCGAGCTTTTGACGTCTAGGCTTAAGCAGTGGAACTTGTTGGATGAAAGTGTGCAAGTCGCAGATCAGAGGATGCATCACCAACCTTTTTGCAGCTTCTTCACCTGTCAAGATGGGCTCTGCTTCTGCCACAATGTGTCCAGTCTATTCGAGGCAATCAGAATCACCTGTAACCAGAATGAGTGGCGCCTCTTCATTGACAGCTCATCCAGGAGCCTCAAAGCCGTGCTGCTCCATAATGGTAACAAGTACCCGTCTCTTCCCCTGGCTCACTCGGTGCACCTCAAAGAGGATTACAACAGCATCAATACCTTGCTGGATGCCTTGAAGTATGATGAGTACGGCTGGGAGATCATCGGAGACTTAACAATGGTGGCATTCCTGATGGGTCTCCAAGGCGGTTTTACCAAGTTTCCCTATCATTGTCTTTGGGACAGCAGGGACACCAAGGTGCACTACCACAGGCGGGACTGGCCACAGCGCGGACCAAGTGGGAGCCACTGGTGGACCCCCGGAAGGTGCTGATGCCACCACTGCATGTAAAATTGGGCCTTATGAAACAATTTGTCAGAGCTGTAGCTAAGGAGTTGGCAGCCTTCAAGTTACTTCAAGACTTCTTCCCTAAGCTGTCTGAGGCAAATGTCAAAGCCAGTGTCTTCAATGGACCACAGATAAAGAGGATCCTGGAGTGCAATGAATTCCCCAAGAAGCTCACTAGTAAGGAGAAAGCGGTTTGGGACAGCGGTTCGTGGCTTCCTGGGCAATCACAAGGTCGAAAACTATGTGCAGCTGGTTGAGACTGGTGAAGAACTACGACACAATGGGCTGTAGGATGTCCCTCAAAAGTCCAAATCCTTGATGCTCATCTTTATAAATTCAAGAATATGGGAGCGTACTCGGAGGAGCAAGGCGAGCGCTTCCACCAGGATATACTAGACTTTGAACGCCGCTACCAAGGACAGAAAACGAGAACATGATGGGAGACTACATTTGGCGGCTGATTCGTGAAAGTGATTTACAGTATAATCGTAAATTTCGAAAAACTACTCACTTCTAACTCTTTTGTAGTATTTTTTGTATTACTTTAGTATAAATACATGTTAATATTGATTCATGTTGTTTTTCTGACTATGTGAACGAAAAGACACAAATTTGCCCGTTTTCTCATTGAAAAATATGTAAATTTCAAAATATCACTGTCCTGGTCACAAAAGCAAAGTTTGTGGGGAATAATAGCCATTTTCTATATTTTTTAGGCATAAGCAATTACGAAATAACATTACCCAGGAACAAAAATTGTGTTACAGTGTTATCACTGTTGGCTACGTATGGTGCGAAAGAAGTTCAACATACACGTTATGAATAAGTCACGCTTACTTTTAACATCCTACTCAGATGCATAAATAGTAAATATTGTGGCTACAAAAATATATCATATGCAAGCTTATAACTGCAGATCCTGGACATTATCCCATTTCCCATGAATCTGCTCTGAACAAAACAATGCATGGACACCCAAAGTGGCACATTTTGGATTGGCTACCAATTTATAAATGTTGATGGGTTACACTTTAGTACAGATGGGGAAGATATCTCCCCCTGTCAACCGATCTGGGGCCACACTTCACCAGCCTGCACAGGAGTGAACATCGTTAGACAACCCTTGCGACCAACATAACTTGGGATGGGTTTCATCGGTGGATTGACAGAAGGGCTGTAAAATATTACTGTACACTTCATTTAATATCCTTGCAGAATTATATGTTTTATGGCATGTGCTACATTTTAGAACAGACATTTTAAAGTTGACTAATTAAAACAAAATTTCACGTCTTAAATTACAAACACAACGCTTTGTAAGACTTATTAACAGACAAAATGAAACAATATTTATTAGAACTGTAAAAACAGGCTTCAACAGCTTTGACACAAATTAAAAACAGATGGCATCTCGATTCGCATAAAACAGCTACCAAGCAACAGTGTTCAATGTTCACAATTACCCGTTTTTGGTTTTCATCCTGAAAATAACCACTTTTAGGGGCGAGTTTTTTTATATTTTTCCTATTTTAAATCCAAGTAGATAATAAAAATACGGCATAACCCATTGTAAAAATGCGGTTAATTATTTACTCAATAAACATAAAGCTACCATTTAATACAATTCATATTGAAAATCTTAATATCTCTATTTAATTCATTTATGTATTGGCCTTTTATTAAGATTTTTTTTTCGTGCAGGAATTTTAAAACCAAAAATGTGCAATTAACTTACAGTATCTTTTTTGTAAATTGCAAAAATTATTTACTGCTCCCCATGGAAAAGGCACCTAAATAAGTTATTTCACTGTGCTGACAATAAAGTAGCCACAGCATAATTCTTTGTTAAAGTATGCACTTTGGAAATTGTGCACATTTAAACATACACATGTTAATGGCAAACTGCTTGATCATAGTATTATGGGCTACAACAAGTTACTTAAACAAGTGATAATTTTCTCAATGTTTCTTACTGCTAGATTCTAGACAAAGCTGCTATTAAAAAAGTATTATTTCCCAAATACACATCATTTTCTAAACCACAAGTACAATAATAGCTTCCATATACAGGCTAAAAAATAGCTCTTAAGGCAAATGTAGGTAGACTCTGAATTGTATTATTATGCAATACATGAACGTAGGCTGGCATTTGTTCCAGTTGATTGGAAGAAAACATTACAGATGTCACCCTCTGGTCACTGACTCAATTTTGTAAACGTCATCAACTGGGATTTTAATCAAATATTTACATTTTAGAAAACAGGCATTTGAGTGAATTGAATTCATCCAGCTTTTGATATAGGAATGTCTCATCAGGCTACGTATTCCTCCTGTTAAGCCTCATTCAGGAGTATTTAAGACAGTCCTGACCACACTGAATCTTCCTCTAATGCATTCTTAATTCCGTTATACATCATGTAACATGTACTACAAGCATTTGAACACGAGTTAACATTCAATCTTGATTTGAAGCTTTCGTGACTGCAGGAATCCATACTCTTTGGTTCTTTCGGTAAAGTCACGTAGGTAGAAAATAAAACAAATAATTATTTTATACTTACCTGACTATACCGCAAGAACCAAAGAGTACTAGTTAACATGATTACCATTTGCAAACAGTCTTGGTGATATGAACATTAGTCTTCATTAACATGATGTGGATACCATGTTCTGGACACCCCATTCCAGTTGTCAGTTTTGACTGGTGATTTCTTTCAATAACCCTTTTATAACCTTTTGTATTGCAACTGTCATTTTGCTTTGCAACGTAGACCTGAGGTGAATTCAAAATTACAAATTAACGATATGGAGCAAGATCATAAATCTTCAACTAATGAAGATTACTTTGAAGGACTGAATATGTAAGCATATTATAGTCCACAATAACTTTAACTGTCACTGCTGAAGGATTTGTTCATAATTTTCTAATACTTTTGCTTTAATGGAATCAGCTTTTTTTTAATTGTATGTTTTTTACATATATAAATGACAAACTTTGAAATTTAGAGTGTCAACTAAAATTAACAGTAAACAACATGTTTTTGGTATTAGTCTATGTTAGTAATTATTTGCATTTACATCTAAATGTGTTTAATTATAAATGGATTATAAATAAGTACAACTTGAGCAATGTTAACAAAAAATAGCATTTCATTCCTGAAACAAAATAAATAAGCTCCAACTATAACATCTACAGTTTATTGTGAAATTATCAGCAGTTTGTTTTACCATGTCATCAGTTTTGCATGACACTCGATCATAACAATATTTGATTCAATTTAAAATGCAAAAGCACGTGGAATAAAAAGGTAGGTGTCCAGTTGTGATAAATTGCCCTACCATGTCTACATGAAGGCAAATGGATTATAAAATAGAATATTTAGAAAGCCAAATGTAATCACGTTCAAGCGTCTTACCCTTCTCACAGTGAGAACAACCATGCTAACTGAACTTTTGGAACATAATTCTGTTGAACTACAGTAAACATAAGGCAAGTTTAAGGAAATGTAAATGTCCAAAAGACTACTTTGACGTTTTTGTTGTTGTTGTTGCAAATTTGCTTTATAATTTACTTGAAGTGGTCATATAAATAAACAACTATTGAATGAGCAATACAGTGATTCTAAGCACAAGTCAATATTTCAGTTGAAAGAATGTCCTAAAAGTAAACTGGCGGTTAACTTCCCGATCATAAAAAATTACAAACAAGGAAAATACCCTCAAATCTACAGCACCCACCACCCCTTAACATCACTCTTGTATTTGTGCCAAAAAAAGTTTCACACTGACCAAATAAAATGCAAAGTAGTTAGCTACCCATACTTGATGCAAAGTCATCCTTATACTTCAAGGTATATTCACCCCAAAACAGGTGACCTTCTAAACATTGGGAAAATAGATGTGTGTATATTATTGGAAAACCTGTGACCATTGTTATGTAAACATACAAGGTAAGTTACATTCTTATTCATTTTAGCATTCAAGACGAGATTTCAAAATAAGACATTTTGTGATTTCAATGGGGTGAGAAATGCATGATCATTGTACAAATGCTACTAAGATAAAAGTGCAAAAATTAGAACAGTCATTGCCTATCGGAGATGAAGTGATGTTTTTCTGTCTAACAACAATATAATTTATCACAGGCTTTCATGGCCAATAATAATATTCACAATTGACACAGCCAAATAAATGTGATTTGTTTGGCTATGTTGAGTGCTGGAGGGTTAAGAATTTGCCCATATTAGCGGCGTAAACCAATTTATTCATTCAAATCAATTAGTTTTTTCCTACTTGAGAACTTGCCACTCTTGTCCAGCGCTTTCAACATATTCCAAGAGGAGGTAAAACACTTATTTTTTTATTCGGCGCAGTTATACTGGGCGACTTGGTCATTTGGGCCAGAATAGACTCGGCCTTTCATCCGTCTTGAGTGCCACTGTTGAGAAATGTGGAAGTTCCAGCGCTGCCTCAAACCTTCCAAAAAGGGAGACAAAGCACTTCCCCACGCTCATTTAGCGAGGAGACACTGACTTTTACATTTTTAAGATAAAGTATTTCAATATTACTTTGCATCAAGCACAGATGTTTAAGTCAGTGATGTGTGTAAGGGTGGTGAATAATATTCATAAATTGTATATTATTATGCGGGTTCCACGGTACGTGGCACCGTTCCACGTGCCGTAAACAAACCCCGCTTCAAACTAATCAAACAAAACCTGATGAAATATTGAGAAACACATGAAGCCACAGTGCACGAGTCTAACCTATGATTTATAGAGATTAGTGCCAGCTTGCGAGGTGTAAACATCCTCAGCCGCCGAAGGCATATGCGGGATGTGTAACTCATGTGACGTTCTCTCTCCTTTTAGACTTCAAGGAGCCCTTGAGCTTTTTCCAAAGGCTGTCTTTCCTTTTGGACCGTCTCTCCATCGCCACCATGGCGTCGTGCTCCTTGCGGCGGATTTCCCGCACGACAGCGTAGAATACCTCGTCCACGTACTGCCGCAACGCGGCTGATGTCTCAAAGAACTGACAGCTGAACTCTCGTGCCAGTGATCGGCCCTCTTCCTGCGAGACCTGCAGAATGCAGAGCAATTTGGGATAGGCCTGGGTTAGTGATCCATTCACGACCACAAACATCATTGCATAAATAGCACACCCATAAGCATATGAATGTGAGCAAATGTGCTCTCCAAAGCACAGTGTATCCATGTATCTGCAGATGCAGTTGTCACAATGATTCATGTTCCAGTATATTGTTTTGTTCGAATATTCTCATTCGACAATTTTGTGTACGTACATTTTTTTTTTATTTTTGAATTAATTGGATCATTAACAGATCTCACGTGATTTACAATATAATGATCTAAATGCCTCAATTCTGGAAACATGCACTTACCAAATGTATGCTAATTGGTCTGCTCTTGAATGCTGACAAAAATGTATTCAAGTATGCTGACTTGCACAATTGGCAATGGAATATATTGACCAAAACACTAGTTTATTTTTCTTTTCAACGAAAAAAACTTCCACATTTTACTTCCCCTTTGTGGACTTTCATTATAAGCACACATCTCAAAGAATAAAGACTGGTTATAAACAGCAGAACAATCTATCACCCCACTCTGAACACTCGCAAATAGCTCAGGCTGCCATCTATACGCCATATCACAGGGTCACGGCACACAAAATCCACTTAGGTATAGAGCAATACCACTCATCCTATTTTATGCCAGAAAATGCTGCTAAAATCTGAAGCTGAATTGCACATTTATTGCTGTGGTGGTGCCAGTGAATCGTTATGATTAAAGTCTATATTGCATTATGTTAAATTTATACCATGAGTAAAAATGGACTTTAAAAAAGGTAAGAGAAAAAAAAACACTGGTTAATCTAATGGGATACTTTGTTACAAAAATGCTAATCTTTGTACTTCCCATATCCTGATTTTGCATATTTCAGTCTACACCAAAATAATGAAAGTGCTGGAATAAAGGGTGATCTATTTATATAAATACCACTGATTTCTAATGATCCTCTTAATTTCTTCTCGACATGATATTGAATGTGTGAAAGCGATTGCCCCATGTGTTAGAGAACAGTGGTTTTAATTATTTTTAAAAAGTGCATTGGGATTGGTGGGAGACATGAAGAGGCATTGAAATATGTTGTTGTTTCCTGTATAATTTCTCCATACTATTTCAGTAGGGTACCTATACATGGTCCACCGAGTTCTTGGAATAAACTTTATGATCAGTAAACATGAGGCTGAAATAGAATTAGGTGCACAAATTCAGTTTGATCATTTGAGTTTAACACGTAGTTAATGTTTGTTCAATGCCACTTAAGTGATTTGTTCACCTGGCGAATTTCTCCCAAGTCGGTCTTGTTGCCCACAAGCACCACAGGAACCTCGTACGTGTGACGGACTTGATAGATGAGCTGTTTGAACTGAGCAGCCTCCTGGAAACTGCGGCGGTCGGTAATGGAGTAGCAGATGATAAATCCTTCGCCTGCGCGCATGTACTGGTCACGCATGGCTGTAAACTCCGCCTAATGGAAAATTAAATGGCAAAGTAAACTGTTTAATGTTCGTCATTTATATGAAATGAACAAATATATGACATGCATTCGTACTAAGACACCCTGCATAAGTTTGATTAATTGAATCCTTCTGTCAAGCAGTCATGGAATGATGACAGTGTATGCTGTCTGCTGTAAATGTTACACATCCTTTGACATGAATCAGAAAAGTGATTTTTCTTTCTCTCCAAAATTACAGGTTTCAAAATGAGCTCGTAAAAGGTCATACCATTATAAGTATATTGCACAGTACAACTGTAAAGGTAGTATCATAAGGAAAAAAAAAAGACTCGTAAGTATATTTTGTTTTAAACCTCTGGCAAAGTATTAAAAATGGTCCATTCTAAAAAGCCTGCAGGCAAGTCTATTAAAAGACAAACATAATGTCCCCTGCGTAGAAAGCTTTGATTGTTTTCTATATTTTTCCCACTACAGATTACAGAGCAACATGATGATTAACATAACAATCCTTTGGCTTACAGGCATACAGCCTTTGAGAGATACTGTCTCTCCATTCACCATATTTCTTACATGGAACAATAGGCAACGGATTACTCTTATTACTTCTTGGCTGAAAATACGGAAATTAAACAATGGTTATACAGTGCAAAACATAGCCAGAATTGTGATGTACGCCTTACTTGTCCTGCAGTGTCCAAAATGTCAAGGTGTGCCGTTTCATCATCAATGCGGACTTGTGTTTTATAGGCATCCTCTATAAAACAAAGTACATAAGGTCAGTTATCACAAACATTAGCTGGGGCAGGAGGCTTGTTCACTTTAATACTCTTGTTTAATAAAAAAGGGTTATACATAGACATTCACATGATCAAATACTGAGCTATACATTGCACATGTCAACAACAAAGACCAAGATCCCCCCATATTGCCATAACAGACTTTTTGGGCAAGTGCTGTTAGCGAGCACTTATGAAGGCTGGCGCGGCGCATGAAGGAGTGGGTGGCCAGCACTATCCTGGCCGCATTTATCTCCCCATTGGTGAAGTTTATGCACCGTACCAGGTACTCATTTGAGGCTCAGTCGACCTATGGGAGGACCAAGACCAGTTCCGTAAGCAAGAATTAAACTCGGGTCACCAGGTTCGTAGCACAGCATTCTAACCGCTACACTACCGCTCCCCGCATGTACCAAGGCTATCACACCCATCACAACTCAATTTTACATTGTCCTACAACTGCATATTACATTTTCTGTTTACGAAGTTTCCACACAAAAAATACGAACACCGAAGGCCAACAAAGCACGTTTTTCAGCACTTTAAAGTAAAATATTGGCAGCAACACAAATTCATTTACAGGCCCAGGAGCAGAGCCTTGACGGCAGAGATTGTGTCCTAATCAGGTGGGCGAGGTGTGCTCTGCAGTTGCCACATGTTTCATGTTTCACGTTCCTCCGTCACTCTGCCAGAGAGGGGGAGGGGCTTTTATGACAACCGCTGAAATAGAGGCAAATGATGCATGGTCTCAGCTCGTGTCTGTATGTGGGTTCTCTGAGAACGGCTGCCTGTGGGAAGGGTACGATGTTATGATCAAGTGGTCTTGATACACACTCTGTTAAGATAGAGGGCGAGACCCCAATAGAATGCGCAAAGTAACGCAGTGCACCTTTAGAACATCTCTTGCACTCGGTTAAGATTGGTATAAACCTAGCAAGATGAACTCCAGTAAGCGAAGGGTAAGGTATTGAAATGTATCATCTATCATGCGATTGATGCCATAAAAAAATCTTCATCAATCCAATTGTTTACTTTCTGGACTTATAGATATGATCACTGTTCCAAAAGTGTAAGACTACTAAATATTTCGGATATCCACATGGTTGTAAGAAAAGCATCTCATCTAATGACCTTGGAAGGTATCGTAATTTAAGTATAAGTGTTTAAATATAATTCATAGTCCAAGAATAATGTCCATGTGCCAGAACAATGAGGCCATGTACCATTATTAAGCACACAGCTCCCTATTCGCAAAATGGACTGTTAATGGAGATAATGGACTGATGCCTGTTTGTTTTCAAAAATTTCAGAGCTTCATAATTTGAGTTGTGTGGCTCATTAACTGGCTATTGGTAATTTGGTTTCCGCATTCAAGCGAATGAGCTAGGTGTAGAGCTCTCAACCCAGTGGACAGTGTTATAAAGTAAAATGTTGAAAGTGTATTGTGAAGACAGGGGTTATCCTCTCTGTTACCACCAATAGCAACCAGGTCAAATTATTTTCCTCCATACACCAGTTCATTGATTTTAGCTGTCCTGCCAAAATATATGCATGTATATTTGGGGGACCAATGCCACCAGTCTTCAGAACGTGACTCCTATTTCCTATCCAATACGACCTTCTACTTAACCATCTGGGAATGTTGCATCTTCGCTGGGCTGATATCTGCCAAGGTAAGTGGTTGCCATAAGTCATCCACTGTCGAGTTCCCATAAGGTCATAATTATGTCAAGCAAATCTTGATTTGATTTGAAGCTTTCATACTGGGTGAATGGGATTTGAATGTTTTATTGAAAGTCAAATATTATACCCATAATGCGACCTGGACTGAATGGCACCAGTTAAGGCATTATGTTCTTGTGTAGGTCAAGTGGTATACACAATTAGTCTTTGCTTAATTGTAAATATATCGCGGTTATAACATGAAGACGTGAATTGAAATGTCCTTACCGATAGTTGGATCGTGGTCTTCAGGGAAGCGGTGGCTGATGAACTGCATCGTCATTGCTGAAGAAAAATAATGTAGAGTAGTGAGAACACAGCTGTATTTTAATAACTCTAGCCATTGACTCATTAACATTGACAAATACTTACAGTAAACACAGTGACTCGTATGTATGTAATCTGAAAGGGTGATGCAATCTAAAGAACGGTCAACAACATTTTAAGTTTCTGGGTTGCAGGTCAAACCGATTCCATCATTCCTCCAGGTTTAATCAAATACTACAACTTTATGGTAAGCTAATAGTGGTTGTTCAATGACGAGACTGGTAACAACCATTGAAAAGGGTAATTTTCACCATAGCTCAGTGCCATCAAGAGACAGATGTTTAATCTTCTTTGGTTCTTTCGGTAAAGTCACGTAGAATGAGAATAAAATAATAAATTGATAAAATAAATTCTCATTCTACGTGACTTTACCGAAAGAACCAAAGAAGATGAATCATTGCAGTCACGAAAGCTTTAAATTGACAGATGTTTAACATTGCCACATAACATATATTAAAAATCCATACAATTGAATGCACGTTTTTGTTTTGTTGAAGTCTTGAAAAATGTAGACCACTAACACTGTGGCATAACTGGCCATTGAAGATACTTCCCTTTGTATTTTTTTCCACTTGTCTGTTTTGCCAGCTTATTTTAAGAAAATTTACTGATAACCACTCTATGCCATTAGCTCCAGTTTTAGATGTAGATCACCCCAGTGGTCATCATCAGAGTGCACTTTCATGATGCACAATTGAATGCATTGCACAACAACAAATGCAACAGAAATACATTTTAACACGTAGGCTTAAATGAGTTAAATGATGACGTCACCCTGCTGCTCTATTTAAGACAGGGAGCAAGTGAGGGCTTTACCATTCTGGCGAATTGCCCGATGATGCTGGATGTAATGACCAGCGAAACGTCGTACTACTCAAACTGTAAATGTTGTGGATTCACTCTTCAACACACCGTTGGGCTAAAGTAGTGAACTATTTGTCTTTTGTCAACGTGACACTTTTTTTGCTGATTGGCCGTGTCGGGTGGTGGAGGGTTATGACACATTTATAAAAAATGCGATCTAACCCAAAATCCTTTATTATGAATAAATAAATGTATTAGTCCACGCTTCAAAACGAACCATAAAAACATATGCACAGTATACACAAGGGGAGGTGAAAATGTCTGCAGCTTGACATCTGATGCACGACGGACCGCAATATAGTTGTGTTATTTTCATACATCTTCCCTGTGCACAATGAACTTGGTCCACTGACGTTTCAGTCCTTTAATCTCCAAGCCAAAAGAACGTTGTCATGCTCATAAAACCATTCATCAATCACACATTGCTTAATTGTCACTAAAATATATTTTCCTGCAAGTGCTTATTCTTAACAATGGAAAAGTGTAAGTCTATTGAAGCTGAGTCTGGTGATTGTGAAAGGTAATCAACCAATTTTAATCCAACATCATGAATTCCAACCATGGCAACTCAAATTGTGCAAATTAGAGTGACATCCTGGTTGAAGATGATATCAAAACTTTCCTCGCCTTTCTTTGACTGCATTGGCTAACTTTGTTCTCAATTAAATTAACCACTTTGCAACAATCACAGAATAGGAGTTGTGTACTGCATAACTTACAAATCGTGCCCCTCATTAATATTGCTCTCTCTTCTAAATAACTCATCAGAATGCATGTTCTTTGTAGAGCCGATCCATGGTGCTTTCACTCAATTTTCAAAGCTTTAATTTCCAGATAAAAATCATGGACCCATGTTTCATCCACTGTCACAAAACTGGCGATTTATTGTTCTTAATGTCATTGGTAATGGTTGAGGAGCACCTATGCCTGACTGTGCTTCACTTCTGATTAATGGTAAACATTTTGGGCACCTACTTTTCACAAATTGTCAGTGGGTATGGCCTTGGCAATTGTACAATTGTACAATTGCCAAGTTTTTGATTACTTCTCACTGTGTTTGCTGTATACCTTAATCACAGCAAGGTATACTATTTAATAGTGGAGACTGTATAGTCCATTTCAAGTTTTGTGAAGTCCTTTTACAACAGATTACATAAATAGAACTATACCATTCTGCTATATAAACAGTTGCTGTGTCTTCAAAAAATATGCAAGCCATACAACAACCAGTAACTAAGGAAACATGTGCACTTCAATAAAGAGCGTAGCATATTAAACATATGCAGTATATGGTTATGATGCATTTGGTAAAGTTGCAAAATGCTTATAAGGAAAACGTTTGGAGAATGTTAAATCAAATGGTGAATCAAGATATCCAAGTACACGGCATTGCATTATAACGTTAGAGCAGTAACTCATGAATATAAGTAGAAATCCCTATGCACAGCAAATTAAACAAATATCATAACATCCATAAAAGGTTTATTTTGGGTTAGATCACATACCACCACCACCCAACACAGCCAATTAATAAGGGTTGTAACGTAAACAGAACATGCCAATTAGTTACTAGTACAGCACACTGGTGTGTTGAAGAGCCAAGCCACAGCATTTACAATCTGAGTATGAAGTTTTGCCAGTAATTGCAACTAGCTTCATCAGGCGACAGCCAGATTTGTGGAGATGTCCACCTGTTTCGTTCCTTAAATAGAAGCGTAGATGTGACAACACTTGCTCGAAGTGGGGTGGGGGGGGTTAATGCGCATTCTGTGGGCCCACTGATCTTGTGGCTTGTCTCTCCAACACACCGGTGTGCTGTACTAGTGTAGAGTAGGAGTTAGTGACGTCATGTCACGCTCGCCTTCTGGTATGATGTCACGGATGGTGACGTCATGCACAGGGGTCGGGACAGTGACGTCATGTCCCCCTGGGGGATTTAAGCTGGAACCCGTCACGGGTTCAGGGTCGTCTGGAGAGTCCAGGAACGTGAAGGGTGGAAGTCGGGACCCAGGGTAGGGGGAAATTGGCATCAAGCTAGGGTAGCCTGTGGGTGTGCTAGGGACCTCCCCAGTAACCTTCCCCCGGGGGAGCGATGGGACCCCGGGGTAGGGGGAAATTGGCACCAGGCTAAGGTAGCCTGTGGGTGTGCTAGGGACCTCCCCAGTACCTTTCCCCTGGGGTGTGGAGTGTAGGCAGTGAGTGTGCAGTACACGGAGTCGTGTGCGAAGAGAGGTCTTAATAAAACTGGCGCAAGCCCCTACACGAAGATCTGCCTCCGAGTCATCATTTACGCCTCAACACTAGTAACGAATTGGCATGTTCTGTTTACGTAACAACCCTTACTAATTGGCTGTGTCGCGTAGTGACGGGTTTAACGACACATTTATATATTTCCGCAATCTAACCCAAAAAAAAACCTGTATTATGGATGATATTGGTCGCAGAAGTGTAAGTGTTAAATATCATAACGTCATGAGCTACCTACTGCTGGATGATGGCCTCCCCAATGCAATGTAATCCCTCAAGGTCCCGTGATATGCCAATGAGCCAATTTCAGCACTCCCATCTCCATGGTGGGTATCTCCACGAGCACGTTCCAGCTTTGCATGCCACTCTGGCATTAGTCTCGACCGCCAGTCATGTGTCCTGCCCAATCCCGCTTTTCGTCATGGTTAATATTGTTTCTAATTTGCATACATATGGTTGTTGAAACGTATTTCACACCGTACGCAGCCAACCATGTGTTTCTCTTGCTCTCATTTAAATTACACACATGTACCTCATCAATGGTCCTTTGTACACTTTCCAGCTGGACGTTGACGAAGAAATATCATTGTGACAATATAAATGTAATTTTCCTCCCACGCGTAGGCTAAAAGCATGTTATTAAGGCCACTATGTTCCAGAGTCTAAGTGCCATCCCACCATCATGTGTATCTTATTTCCTTAAAGGCCGAGGCACGAGTGGTGTACATTGCGAGACGTGAGACAGGGTAAACACACGGTTAAGTTTGTGTCAAAGCTATTTCAATATCATATTTACGAATCGTTAACTAGATCGTCTTCTAATAAAATAAAAAAACAATAATAAATACATTTCAATATATTGCAGGAAATGATTGATGAACTGCATGAAGAGGACCACAAAGGTAGACTAATGATAAACAAGAGCAAGGTAGAAGTTATAAATAACAAATGTGATTAACTATTGTAAGTAACCTATAGAGGGGGCAAAAAGTTGATTACACAGCAGGATAAGTATACTTGGGGCAATAATAGAAGCTGAATCATGATCAAAACAACGTAAGAGGTGAACCAAATTAGAATGGAACATTGCTTGGAAACTGAATTTGATACACTCTGTAACACGATTTTTGTTCCTGTTATTTTCTAATTGCTTATGCCTCAAAAGTACAGAAAATGGCTATTATTACCCACAAACTTTGCTTTTGTGACCAGGACTTTATGTGAAGTAATGACACAAATGCACACCACGTTTTATCATTGGCGGCAATGCCCTACAGGACAGAAAACATGGGCATTGACAACACATAATCGGAAACGTGTGCAAAGAAGCAAGTGCCAAATAAACTGAGAAACAGGAACCAATGCAAATTGTAGACACTGTCAATAAAATATTTCTTGGACAGGACATTACAGGAGATGACGGCCAATGGACGCGCCTGGTAATGCAATGGCAGGCATGGGACAATGTGTCGGACAGGGTGAAAACCACAGAGATGGAGATGATTGGCATAGCGGGATGTCAGGGGTGGCAACATCATGTGCAGGCCTTCATCCAGCAGTGCATTGACAGAGGGATGTAAATTGTTATTATGAATAGTTTAAGATGAAATATATAACATTCATAAAGGTTAACATATTTTTTCTCATCTGCCCATAGCTCTGCATATGGTTCAGGTACACTGTGGTTCACTTAAATAACCTGAAAGACGGTCCTTAATCTGCAATTTCTTCTGACTACACTGTAAAGTTTTCTTGTAATATTAACAATGTGTATTGTAATCATAACTTGCCTCACCAACCGTTCTTAATTTTAAATGAGCCGAGTAATGTCGCAGTCTTTCACCCCA